TAGAGAATAATTTAATGTTTCATATGCACTTTGTTCATTATTTTTGCCTGTTATAGATAATGAACTCGTTCCAAGTTTCGTTTATCGCGAGCTGGATTCATATCTTTATAAGAAAGGTAAATACTGTGTTTCCGTAAATGATACCAACTAAGCCCTGCCGTTACAGGTCTCTCAGTCTACGAATTGCAGTGCGTGATAACATTGTGACCTTTTATCTGGAAACCGTTAAGATAAACACATTTTGTACACAGAAGCTTTTGAGTAATCAAATGGAGTCTGCATCAAGATGGCTGTCTTCTGGGTTGTAGCACCGTGTCTCCTGGTAGAAATTCAAAAAACGTTTCAGAGGTCCGTGCTGCCTCCATCTTCAGGGCGATAATCGTCAGAGTACACGGCGCTACAACTCAGAGGACATCCATCTTCGTACTCATCGCCGTGAGAATCTCAAATCCTACTCGGAGTCAGTGTTGTAAGTTGCAGAACTGAAGATTTTTACGTATTCTTCTAAGTGTTTGGATTATTTGTGATCAGTATTCAGAGTCTGAATGATAGATTCAAAAGGCCAAAATCCTAGTTACGATTTTCGGTATGTAGGCTAGGAGACATTTCCTTCCGAGGGTGAGACGTGTCAGTTTTTCGGAACCCTCTTAGGAAGATGGTAGCTTGTTCGTTCTGTGATCGTAGTATGTTTGTCATGGAATTAACACATGGTTTTCGTGTCTACGTATGGCTATGTGAACTTTTTAAGTAATAACATCAGCGCTTTACTCTGTATTATCTGTAAGGTGAGAAGTCTTGAAAAAAAAAAAATGAAAATTTTAGTTCGAAAAGTTTCTAAAAAAAAACAACATGGCAGCTGAATACTGGTATAAAAATTTCGGTTTTATGAAAACTAGTATAACTTTTAAATTTGTGTCGTTAAGTGTTTAATCACATCCATAATTTTGTGGTTGATATAAATGTGTTATTCTGTGTCTGACGGTAACTTGACTTCTGTTCCGAACCTGCCGTTGTAGAAAGGACGTTTCGGACAAGGATGTGAAAGCTCGTAGTTTAAGCACATAAGTCCCCCTTTGAGAAAGTGAAGGTCTGTGGTGTGATTATGTCCTTTTACTGAATAGATTTTAGAATTTCCGAATTTTCATGAACCTGTGTATGTCAACATTAACATCATTTATCATATGTTAGTTACGAAACACGTGTGAGGCATTTTTACAAGTAAGCTACTCTGTGCATCATATATAAACATATTCAAATCTCCATGTTCTAATGAGTCACGCAAACACTGGAATTACCATGTAAATACTCCGTACAGCCTTCTGGTAATTAGCAGTGATGTAATGAAATCTGTTTCAAGTCCTGTACAGGTGCCATCCTAGCACAGGACACCGATTGTTCTCGCTTACGTCCTGTTCGACATGTCTAGTGGTGTAGCGTTGCCTAGGGGATGGACCTTCCATTCGTCGTGATATTTCAAAAGTCAAAGTTCACATGACAGCCATGTTTTAAGTTGTAAGACTTGAGGTTCTCACAGCGATGAGTATGAAGATTTCTGTCTTCTGGGTTGTTGCGCTGTGTAGTCTGATCGCCCTGATGACTGAGGCAGTATGACCTCTGAAACGTTGGTTAACATCGACCAGACTACACAGCGCAACAACCCAGAAGACGGAAATCTTCATACTCACCGCTGTGAGAACCTCAAGTCTTACATACTAACCCAGAATTTGAATCATAAGACCAAGGAAAACCTGTGATACAAACCCATCCTACTATACAGTGACATTTAGTAGTAGTAGCAGTATAGGATTTATAGATGCAGAACTGGCTCAAGATTGTCTCTAACAGCTGGTCTTGATAACATTCTTTTAATATAAAATCAGGTACTTGGTATTGAAAACTGATCAGAAAAATAAGCGATTATGAAGCACACGTTTTACATTGTATTCAATTAAATACAGAATACATTAAAAACACTTTTCAAATAAATTTATGAACCTTAAAAAGAAACATAATCTTCTTCCTGTATCTACTGTCTCTGCAGTAAGCCATCGATTACAATGAACCAATTCAGGCTACAATGAAACTCGTTCAAAAGCCAAACACTTCACTTCTAGGAAATCAAATGGTTTGGAACATGAACTATGAGAATGATCAGACAAGAGCATCCTACATGTTACATCGACCAGACTACACAGCGCAACAACCCAGAAGACGGAAATCTTCATACTCATCGCCCTGATGATGGAGGCAGTATGACCTCTGAAACGTTGGTTAACATCGACCAGACTACACAGCGCAACAACCCAGAAGACAGAAATCTTCATGTTTTAAGTTATTGAGGAGTATATGAGGGGGCCAACCGATTAACAGAGAAAATTACACGATCAGAAACTTCCGCGTGTTTTGTTAACGACGATTAAATAGCAGTTCTTGCGATGGACAGTACATGTAGCACACGTGAGTTAGACGAAAAGTTCATACTAAATGTCGTCGGTGAACTTGAAAGGACGATGGTATACTTGGCGAGATCTAGGCGCAGATGAGAGGTCAGTATCAAACGAATGACAGAGAAATATGGGGCTAGGGTGTGGATTGGATTTAACTGGCACACGATAGGATCCAATGGGGGAATCTTGTGAACTTAGTAATAAACTTCAGGTTTCCGTTAAAAAAAAGTGTATTATCTTTGAGCAGCTTAGTAACTGTTAACGTTATATATGTTTTTTGTGATAACGCAAATGACCTCAGCTACATTTAATACCGTATTTACAGAAAACGTTGGTATTATATCTGTATGCTTGTCGCAATATATTCCGAGCTTTGTTGACCATTACAATACATACATTGACCAGCCGAGGTACGGGGAGGGAGGGGACGCGATAGCAAACAAGGTGTCTGACTCCCCCCTCCCTTTACCCTATCTAACTTTGCCTTTCACTGTGACGTAGCTGAGGCTCGCAGATGTTTTGCGTCCAGTTAAGACAGGCTATACCTACAGCTGCTTAGCGGGGAAAAGAGAAATGCTTTCAAAATTTTGGTTGTTCAGCCTGAACGGAAACGACCACTCGAAGATCTGTACGTAGATGGGAGGATAATATTAATGGGATAAGGTTTAGACTGAATTAATTGGGATCAGGATAGAGACCGTTGACTGATTTTTATGAACACAAAAAAAAACTTTCACGTTGCATAAAACGCGGAGAAATTTGTGCCTGGCTGAGTGACTACAAGCTTCCCAAAAAAGGTCTCTGCCGTACGTAGTTCGTCGATTAGTCGTGCCAGCAATGAAGAACGAGAGATATAAAATTGAAAAGGAACTATACACACTTCGAAGAAGGGCACACCTTTCGATTCTTCTTCGTGTGTTTATCTTAATTTACTGATAATGAGTCAGTGTTACAATTAGGAGAATCGCGAGCCGCTTTCACAACGCGAAGGCCTCAAAAAGCAGGAAGTGTCGTAACAGAGTCGGCGTGGCTCGAGGTGAACTTGTCTTATCAGAGGCCGATTACACCCCCACCCCCCCCAGCCAGCCAGCAGTCTTCCCTAATGAGTGCATTCCTGGAAAAGAGGCCGTGGCTGATTTTCCGTACATGTTCGACATTTTAGAAGACGGAATTGTCAGCGAGAATGAAAAGTTAAAAGAGATATTTTGGGTTTTCACAACTGTGAAAATTTAGACTATGACCTTTGTTTGTTATGACCGCAGGATATACTTAAAAGCGCCGCTTTGGTGATGCCAGTGAATCAGATCTGAAAAACTCTCGATTCAAGTTCGTCCCTGGTTAGGATTCTCGAGTCGAACCTCACCTCAAAAGCCTTGCTGTCCAGAAAATCGAGTAAATTGAGTATGGAAAATTTACAAGGATTTAGTGCTAACATATGACGTTCATAAAGCTGTTTTACGTAAACCATATTAATATTTATATAATTATATACACCTAAGGATGGTTCTTTTAGGAACTGAAACATGTCGTGATACATGAAAAATGATGGTCTAATGTAAATCGAATATTTCGATAAAGACCATCATTTAATATTTTAAATGTTAATTATTGTAATATTTTAATATTTAATAAGAATTTATTGTGATTAGACGGACAAGATTTAATTTAATGTAAACCAGTCTGTTCAGATATTAATAGGTAAGGACAGACGGACATATACTGATATACAAGCTTCTTTCCGCGTAAAATAATGAAACCAGGCTGAGAAGGTACAGTGATTAAAAGCAGAAACACCGCCACTGTCGTAACCTAGGTTACAGTGTTTGCAGATGGACAGTTATTGAACGTTTTCAGATGGGAATTTTCCGAATGCAAGGCAGGCTCTACCACATTCACATGCCAGTCTTCCAGAGCAAAGGTTCTCATGAAGTCGTCTTTCAAGTGGTCCACGGATCAGCTAGGATTGCCTAGTCCCTCAGCAGTTTTCAGATGGTCAGGGAAACGAGTGTGGAAACCACAGTTTTGGAGATGCTGTGAAGATCTCTGCTCTTGGCTTTGACATCATTTCATTCTGATTCTCCCTGTGTGTCTCCTTCCATGGTCTCTTACCTGACAATATTTCTTAGTTTATTTTTAATTTTACATTGGGAACATATTTTCGACTGTAAAATATGGTCTCGTACTTTGAGAGAAGAACATAAATTTCTGATGAACAGTGTTCTTCTGGGTCTTGGCGCAGTGTAGGATACGTCGATACCGACGTTTCGGTGGTTATTTAAAGGCGCTGGGTTTAGCGTAATTTATGTGGCGTCATATAAGATAATGTGATGATGATGAATGGTAAGTTCTGGTTTGTAACGATGTTGTCTATTGAAGGTACTTCTCAGACACACTCTTCCCAGGACTGAGGAGGATCAAGATAAACCCTCAGGGCAGCTGGAAAACCAACCAATTTTTCAAGCAGATACCTCTCGTTACAAGTACATCAACCCGTTTAGAATGTAAAATTGTCAAAAAGTCGTGCCTGTATAAAGAGGTCATATTTCTTTCCAGGAGGAGATGTTTTTGCAGACAGCGTTCATTCTTCTCCCTTTCTTGGTGCTGTTCGAAATAGCCCAAACTGCATCATTCTCCGTGGACCCTAGTCATTTCAACCCGAGGGAGAGCCAGAAGAGATGCTCCTATCTGAGGGATCATGGCATGATGGCAGTCGACTGCTACAATCTCGACCTCTCTTCAATACCCCAAGACCTCAGGACTAACATTGAGGTGTGTTTCTCCTTTTAAGCCAAACTTCATTTGAGTGTTGTGGGGACCGTTTCTCACAAACAAACACTGAATACCCATCACATGCAAAACTCAACAACTTGTCTCCTAACCTCCTACTTGCTGTCTGTCTAACTCCATGGAGCACAGTCCCCCTCTAATTTCTAGTCACTACCTAGCAATCTAGTCAAGAAATACTCACCTTGTATGGAATCTGAAAGATATCCACAAGAGCCTACTCCTGATTCATACAATGAGCCACATCAATCCAATTCCCACACTGAAATCGCTCTTATCCATTTTAATATTATTCTTTCTTGTACACCAAGGTCTTCTGAACAATTCCTTCTCTTCGGGCTTTCCAACCAACATTTTTTACTGTATTTCTCATCTCCCTCATAACGTGCAGAATTTCCCATTGCATCATCCTTGAACAGACTAAGTAAGTTTAAACTGGGCTACAAATCTAACCAATTCTGTGGAATTAGAAAATAAAAATTCAGCATCACTAACATCAAAGCTGGACACATGCTGGCAAAATCTAACCTTACAAATAATTAGTTAAAAGAGCCATGTTCTTATGGACCATTAGTTTCCCAACTTAAGGAAAATTAATGCTTTCAGATTCTTGTCCTTACAGTTGTGCTCAATCTGAAAGTGTTGCAACATGAAGACAGAGAACTTTGGAGAGAAATCTTATCGCTTTAAACATTTTATTCCCTTCTTCTTGTAGCGTTATAACCCTATGCGTGTCTTAGCTTGTTTGACGAGATTTTCCCTTCTGTCCTGTCATTCACATTTTATTCCCTGTGGGTGTGAAATGTGGCCTCTTACTCTCAAGACAAGTGACAGAAGGCAAAGTGCTCAGGAAAATTTGGACCAAAGAAAAATTATGTTCTTTTACATAATGAAAAACTTTGTGGTTTAAGTGTTACATGGAATGATTGCTGGAATAGGGCAGATATGAAATACTTGGCAGAAATATATTATGATCAAGAATGGCATAAATTTGTATTCATCTTTATATTTTTAGATTCTGCAAGCAACTCGCAACAGGATACGAGATCTGTATAAGGACTCGTTCGCTCGCTATACAGACATTAAGTTTCTCTACTTGGATGATAACATGATCTCCTATGTAGAGAATGAGACATTTGACCCTTTGCAAGACCTAGAAGTCATCCGTCTGTCACATAATGCATTGGTCAGAATTCCTTCAGGAGTTCTTCGGCTACCAAAGATCCGGAAGATATTTTTGGATGGCAACCGATTGATTAATGAAGGTGGTTTTGTAGGTGCTCCTGTCAGTGAGAGTCTGGAGTCACTGACCCTAGCTAATTGTTATCTAAAAGAACTTCCTCCTCTGAAGATGCTCCCCAATCTCTCGGAGCTCAATGTATCTGGAAATGACGTGAAGAGGATATTACCTCAGCAGCTGGCACCTATGTGTAAACTTCACTGGCTAGATCTCAGTGGAAACTCACGATTGTCTGAACGAGGTGAAAGTGGATGTGACTGCTATTTGCTGGACTCTTGGATTAGAAACAAAAATATAATTTTACAGAGAGGCTACAAATTAAACTGCGAATCAGACAAATATGGTAAGACTATTCACATGACGTCCACTTTGTCTTTCTTCTGAGCTCTGTAGAGCAAGCAGACTTCTTACGTAGTGGTGGATTCATCGCTAAACTAGTGCTGAGCACCAGTTAACTTATAAACTGTCAACTCTTTGGGAGATATAATTTGCACTGTTATATATTATCATTTGTTTCATTTTTGGGTTCTGAAGGTCGAGAATTCCATCTTCAGAACCCTGTTACTGAATTTTCACTTGATATTGTCCCTTCCATCCACCCAAATCTTATTTTTTTTAGTTTTGGAGGTCAGTGTTAAAGAAACTGTAATGTTTTGTCATGACATTCTACATTAAAAGCATGTTATTGGAGAGAAGCCCCTCTTCCTACATTCTGGCTCGATGTCAGTAATAAAATTGGCAGAGTCCTATCCTTGCTCATAAGGTACAAAGTCTGTTTTGTCAGTGTGATTAGATTTTGTCTGGTTAAGTTCTGTCAATTTTATAGATATCAAAGAAACTTCAACACCATTAACTATTTCTGTACATTATATAGAAAATTTACATTAATGTGAATTCCCATTGTCCTGTCTGTTGCAGAATCCTAAAAAAGCGTTTGGAAAATATTTACTCCAAATCGGAGTTCACCTTTCCTTTCTTATATATTGAGGAGTTAATTTAGACCTGTTTGTACTGTTTGTCCCCAGACTTTTCACACTGCGGAAACATGACTGAGGCTGAGGAGATATATGACACTTGTAAGTCCCGCGCTGCAGCCAAAGCCCAGGAAGCTAAAGTCCGCAAGACCTGGTATTTAATTGGTATCATATTGGCAGCCATCATCATCATAGTCATGCTATGTCTTTTATATCTTCACCTACGCAACAAAACAATACAACAGGAAAATAAATTTGCCATCAACAACAATACTGATGGGAAGAGTGTTTCACAAGCAGATGAAGAGATTGCAACAGATGAACTGCTGAAGGAAATCAAATGCTGACATTGTCTTGAAACTGTGTGAGGACAGAACTAGTCACCAGCCAAAGTCAGTTAATGTTATTTTACTCTTGTCTGATTAATTTATGTAATGACATGTTTCAGTTTTTAACCTAGAAGTGAAATGGATGTTAGGTTAGGTTTTTGAAAGAAGTCTCTTAAAGGGGGATAGTTGTTTTCTTCTCTGTGAAACATGGTTGTTTAAAGGACAGAATTGGATCCTGCCTCTGAAATTTGGTTCTTAAACAGGACAATTGATGCTGTATGTGTAACAAGAATCAAAATGGAGAACTGGTCATTGTCTTTGAAATGTGATTGTTAAAATGATGGGATTGGATTGCATCTGTGAAACATGTTTATCACAGGAATAAATTGAATGTTTGTAAAATGTCATCAAAATGGTGAATTGATTAATGCCTCTTTGGAACTTGGTTATTGAAAGGGTAGAATTGACTCTGTAGTTGTTAAAATGGAGAATTGGTCTCTTTGAAACATGGATGAGAGGAGAAAAAAATCAGTCTGTCTGTCAAACATGATTATAAAACGGAAGCATTGCATTGTATGAAACATGGTTGTAATAGAACAGGTTTGGATTTCGTCTGTGTAACATGGTTCGTTACTAAACATTCTGTACCTGTTAACTCCTGGGTCAGTATATTTTGATTTTACAATTCTTTTTTTCAATGAAAAATCCTTCTTCAGACTGTACCCCAGTTTTTCATACCTTCTAAAGACTCTTCTCACTTCAGTTAAATACACTCAGAATTTCACAAAATACAGAATGTCTTCCCTAAAACATCATTTAGACCTTTCAGCAATAGGATCCCTCACTGGAGTTGATACCGGTGGTCTAATGGTTTGCAGTAGGCCTGTGACCAAGTGCTCATAGATGGCGAGAATGTCTCCAACACACATTGGAGGTTTTCAAAATGTAGCTCATGGAAAGATTTTATATTATTCACTTTGACAGTAATCTTGTGTGAGGATTGGTCAGAGGTGGTTTAAAGTAGTTCATTGAAATGTAAGTGCGGGTGTTGTCTGCAAATACAAAATGAAAAAATAAATAAAAAAAGATTAATATAACCTAATACAGAATGCACATTGAAGTAAATTGACTTTCAGAAATTAACTGCTTTAAATTCCTGTGGTAATTATGTACAACCTGCCTTTACATTTAGTAACTGCGTTTTGCCCAAAGCATGGTAGACACTCATTTTTCTGGACAAAAATACAAATTCAAGAACATGGTTAGTGGTATCCTAGTAGTGTGTAGTACAATTTAATCAGAAATAACTTCGCTATTTATCCCTCAGAATCCAAAACTGGTCAAAATGATATTTAAGAATTGTGTACATTCTTCAAAGAAAACAATGCATCACCATCACAAAGATCAACCGGTTAATGCTGTTTAAGTAAATAATCGCTGTTTTCAGTGAGAATCACAAAAAAGAAAACTCTAAATAACTTCCTGACTGAAGCAGGCAAAACATAATTACCACTACATTACAGTTGGGTTCTAAATGGTTAATCAGCGTCATGCATTGAGACTTATTTTAAAGCAAAATGAAACAACCCAGGTTCTTGTGAACACAGTAGTACAGCTGCGGGATCCATAAAACGTAGGGAATTTTTTGGTATTCTTAGTTATGGGCGTTTTGGTAGTGCATTACACCGACCCTCCTGCGATTTCGGAATGGCGTGTGCATCAACTTTTGCCAAAGACTCGCCAAAACGGCTACGGAAACCTATGAAATGCTAAAGCAAGCATTTGGGGAGTCCGCAATGGGTCGTGCACAAACTTTTGTGTGGCATTCACGTTTTAAAAATGGCCGAACCTCTGTCGATGATGACGAGCGTTCTGGACGACCATCTTCGAGCGCAACGCCCGAAAATGTTACGAAGATCGACGTCGTACCATCAACGACTTGTGCGACATTTTTGGGATAGGCTATGGGACCTGTCAGCTGATTCTAAAGGATGAACTCCACATGCGACGCATCCTGTCAGAGGACTAGAAGCAGAATCGACTTCTCGTTTGTCAGGAGCTCCAAGATCTTGCAAGAACCGACCCCAACTTCCTTTCTAAGCTCCGTGTGACTTCTTCCTCTTCCCAAAGATGAAAATTCAGCTAAAGGGAAGGAGATTTGAGGCGATAGAAGAGATTCAGGCAGAATCGCAGATGGTGCTTGACAGGCTGACAAAGAAAGATTTCCAGGGATGCTTCCAGGCTTGGCAGCGGCGCTGGGATCGTTGTGTTCACTCCCAAGGGAACTACTTCGAGGGTGATGGATGAATTTAATACCTGAGATAAGTGTACGGGTTTTTATACGCGCAGTCTAGAAACTTTCTGATCGCACCTCGTATAGTGTACCATTACTTTTTCAAGGACTCTATGCTCCGTGGTCGATTTGTAGTCTGTTTCTAGGACAATTTTCTTCGTTTTTGTAGATTCAGAAGCAAAGCTTTCCAGTAGCACTGAACGGATCACATATAAAATTATCTTATCTTCGTTAATATTTTGGTCAGACCAGAACTTTGCCTAATTATATAATAACTAGGAAAATAATTTGTCCAAATACAGATTTGTAACTTTTTGTTTTATAATAGCATCCAATTTCGTCTCTTGTAACGCGTTGAAGTGTAGCGGGTTGTATTCCGATATAAACTTCATTGCTTCCGAGACATCATTACGTATTGCGTGTAGCAGGGAGAAACATGATGTCGTCACAACCCCATGACATCAGTGAATGCAGCTCAGTTACGGATTTGTTCAGATTCAGAACGGAAGCAGGGAGCTCTCGCAGACGTGAGTACTTAACGGTGGCGATGTTAATTGGAAGTTCTGTTAATTACCGAGTTTACAAAACATGGTCTTTGAAATTGCACATCTCTGTTCGTAAAGGTTGTTGATATTCAGGTACCCGAGGTAGAAATCCGTTGCTGGCAGGGATAATCAATTGTAAATAGCTAGTACACTGCATGCAGACATTTCATCATAATTTTTTATATAAACCCCCCCCCCTCCCCAAAAACCTTAAAATAAAAGACATTATTCCTTTATTATGAACTCTATTTGATATCGTATGATCTAGTTGTGAGATAATTTTAATAAATTTTACAAAATTCTATATGAGGTTGTGTGAAATGAGGTCATACTGAACCGACCTTAACCAAAATTAAACTCTTGTGGAAAATTTTAATGTAGACCGTCCTTATGCAATTTAATCTAAATTCGTTTTCGGAGATGCAAAACCAACGGACAGATAAGGCCTTGTATTATGCGTTTAGTTACTTTAGGTGGTGCAGAGAATGCGTGGAGGTATACGCACCCATCGTGAACTACTTAGAAATGCTACGCCCACGGTCATAATTAGGGGGTCTTCGTTATCATCCCTTGGCACTACTGACATTGCTGACAAGGATATTTTTTTAATCAGTTGAAGAAATGACGTCCGTGGTTCCAAAGTGTGTTTGATCTTTCTTTGTTAATCTATTTTGGGCTCTTGAACACGATAATGAAACTTCGATTTCCATAAAAATGCTACGAATCTCCTGACCAGTCGAGCGATTATCTTCTCAAGACGATTTCTACTCTGTTTTGTTCATTAAATGGCCCTCGTGTGTTGAATGGGAGTCTGTGCTTAGTGAAGTCGTTACTGCATATTTAACTGTGCTAGACTATTTCATTTCTTTATCAAATCTAAAAGCTCACGACGATGGTGAATTATTTAAATAAAAAGTTCTTTGGATATTTTCCATCGTCTAGTAAAACAGTTAGAGCCCCATCTCCGAAACGTCGTTCTATTTTATTATTTTACTAGACGATGGGAAATATCCAAAGATCTTTATATTCAATTTGTTGTCTGAAAGAACTGAAGATAGTTATTAAACATTTCTGTACAACTGGTCTCCGGTCGAGATCATGACCTAGTATTTTCCGAATATAAAACGAAGTACTAATACAGATCCATTACAGTCGGTAAATTTCATGAGATGATAAAGTTACGTCATATTGTGATAAATATATATTTGTTTAAATCTTGTCGGTCTAATCACAATAAAATTCCTAGAAAACATCATTTGAAATCTGATAAACATCTGACTAAAAAGTTGCATTTAAGAAATTATATTTAAGTTTATATAATTTTATACACCTGAAGATGGTTCTTTTAAAACTGAAACATGTCGTGTAAAAAAGTGATGATCTAATGTAAATCGAACATTTCGATAAAGAACATCATTAAATATATTTTAAATATTTAAATGTTAATTATAGTAATATTTTAATATTTAATAGGAATTTTATTGTGATTAGACTGACAAGATTTAAACAAATAAACAAATATCGGTAAATTTCTTTAAACTGATAGGCGTATCTTAAACGGAAAACATTTTTATAATATAGAGGTGTAGATAATAACATTATTACATTATTATGTGTAATATCCAAATAAACACCTAAATTGGCATTCGTAGAGGCAACATTGTTTTCAGATGCATATCTTATGGCTATATCACAAGCCCAGATTACTTCAAATCGTATACATTTTTAAAAGAGTTGTCATTTATGTACATTGGGCGTTGGTACGTGTTTATTTCAAATACAATTATGTTTTTTTTATACAAAATCAGTAGTAGAGATATTACACTACCACGCAGCCTTCCGAAATATGCTGTATAATGAAGTAACCAACAACAGAAATTATGTACCATAAAATTTATTTCTGAATCTGACAAAATGAAACTGAAGATATTGTTTTTCTATGTGCAAATATACTTTAGACAGAAGAACGAGATAAATTGTATAAAAAAAGGCGAGGAACGCCAAAGTGTAATTATGCATCAATACCCTGATTCGAGAAATTTTCTGAAATTAGATTTTAACTTCATGAAGTATGAGTTACACTCAGTGTTGCGTTATAAAATTACAGCGTCTCACACACAGAATCTCTCGATTAAGCTGGGTGAATCATCAACTGCCATTTGCATTTGTCTCAACATATGGAACATCTTTAAGCCATAGATAAACTGAGAATGCTTATTCTCAGAAATATTATGTCTTCACTGACATCTTTGAGGAAATAGATTGGAAGAAACGAAGTGACTAGAAGTTGTTCTGGGAAGCATCCGAGAATATATTTACGGCAAAGATAAGCTTACGGGTCATTGCGGAGGTCCCTTGTGCAGAGAAGTCGAAGTCCAACATGGAATATGGAAGTTATGAACATTTTAAAGGTTTACTCCAAATTTTTCAAACGGGTTCTTTGTCATTACGCTGAACATCAAGTTCGTTTATTGCAGATACATTCCCATTGCAAAGCTAATCACGCTGCAGATACAAAATTGCACAGTAACGTTTATCCTTGAGAAGTGCCCCGCCTTTATGCAACGTAAATTTTACAAGTTTTAAAGGCGTATGTAATTTGGGATATCGGCCACACCGAAGCCTTTCAACTAATTACAAACTGGAACCATACGGGTAGACGATAAATCTAATAACTCTGCATAACTTAACTTTTCAATGTTAATATAATAATTATTAAAACATACAAATTAAACTAAAAAAACTTTTACATATTATAATGGCGATTTTAAATAGTGCCAAAAGCCTTCTACATACGTAATAGTTGATTAAAAAATAAGAATGAGATGGGCGGGGCGGGGCATATAGCGCGCATGGATGGGACAAGAGGTGTGCACCGGATATTGGTTGGGAATAAATTCTGGAAATGCTTGCTACTTCTCAGTTCAAAATATTTTGTCTTCCCGTCTGATTTCTAAGAACCTGAAAATTAAAGTATACAGAACAATAATCTTGCCTGTTGTTTTGTATGGGTGCGAAACATGGTCTCTCACTCAGAGGGAGGAACACAGATTGCAGGTGTTTGAGAATCGGGTGTTGAGGAGGATATTTGGGCCTAAGAGGGAAGACGATGGGGCGTGGAGAAAACTGCACAATGACGAGCTTAAAAATCTGTACTGCTCCCCCAGTATTGTGAGGGTGATTAAGTCGAGAAGATTGAGATGGGCCGGGAATGTAGTGCGCATGGATGGCACAAAAGGTGTGCACTGGGTACTGGTTGGGAAACCTGAAGGGAAGAGACCGCTGGGGAGACCTAGACGTAGATGGGAGGATAATCTCTGGCGGGATCTATGGGAGATAGGAGTTGAAAGCCACTGGATTTTTCTGGCTTAGAACAGGGTATGGTGGAGGGCTTTTGCTAATTCGGGGATGAACATTCGGGTTCGGTAAGCCATCTAGTTAGTTAGTTAGCATGTCATAAAATATACATAAGCTCACGCAACAGGCTTTTTCAAGCTTAAGTTTAATAATCCTGAAATCGGCCCAATCGGGCTGAAACGTAATTTCACGTAATTTTATTAATCTAGCCACACACAAGTCTGAAATCTTTAAAATTACCGTAAAACAAGTTTTGTGTTTGTAAGAAGAAACAAAATAATACTAAATAATTAACAGACCATTAAGCCTACTTGTTTCGTAAACATTTTGTAGGCATACAAGTATAATACGAAGCAAAGTAACAACAAGACGTCTATTGAATAAAAATTTCCTTGGATATTATCCATCGTCTAGTAAATATAAAACGTAAAACGACGTTTCGGAGATGGGACTCTATCTCCGTCTTCAGGTTCCTACTCAGTTGGGCCCACTAGATAGAGCTAATCCCTATTACGTTTTATATTTACTAGACGATGGATAATATCCAAGGAAATTTTTATTCAATTGACTCTTCACCATCGTCAAGAAGTTTTAGATTTGATAAACAAGACGTCTGTTTTATGGGGTATAAGTTTACCAACTTGCTTCCAGCAAACACCTGTGAAACGTCAATAATCTTCTACGAGACTACACGGCGCAACATTCCAGAAGATCCACACTCCAGAATTTCCATTCCAGAACTCACAGCCATGAGAATTTGAAATATAAACACATGACGCGGAGAAAGTTATTGTGTTAAATATATACTTGTTCAATTTTTATCAGTCTAATCACAATAAAATATAATTATTTTAATATTTAATAATAATATTTTATTGTGATTAGACTGATAAAAATTGAACAAAGTTATTAAAGTTGTTAGCTGCCACCTTTTACGTTATTTATTTTTATTTATTCCTTTATTCCTCTGTCTAACACCTCCATATTTTATTAATTTCATAATCATGGACGTTAAAACAAAATGACGAAGGATTGCATTTAGAATATTACATTTAAGTTTACATCGATTAAACACCTGAAGATGGTTCATTGAAAACCGAAACATGTCTTGAAAAAGATGATGCTCTAATTGTAAATCGAACATTTCGATAGAAAGAGCATCATTTTAATATATTTTAATATATTTTAAATATTAAATGTTAATTGTAGTAATAATATTTTAATATTTAATAAAATATTTTATTGTGATTAGACGGTTAAAATTAAACAATTATAATTCATCACAATATGACGCAACATTATCATCTCAAAAATGAACATTTTATAAGACTTGTGTTTGCAGTACAGTGGCTATGTGTCGACTGCTATCGTGGTTTCTCGCTTTGTCGGTGGCGTTATCAGCTGGAGAAGAACACATTTGTACTTATTCGACCAGCTTCCATATGACAACAGCTGACTGCTCTGGGCGCATGTTTAAACATGTGCCTACCACGCTTAGTTCGGATATTAAGGTATAGTGGCGGTCTATTTTTTGAACGTAACTGGGTCTGTGCTTCTAAAAATAGCTCTTAGCAGCATGTTTTTTTTGTATCACATACTTTAACAGTCAGTAACAATACATTTTGCATTGGTTTTATATGATGTCAGAAAAATAGTGGTTATTTCCCTGAACATAATTGATTTTTGTTAAGGAGAAGCTTTGTTTTTTCGTTGCGGTAAGAAGTGTTTATTTCAGCTTCGTGCTGTAATGGGTTAACGCTAGGCAATCCAACATGATAATAAGTTAAAATCTGAGTCCTATGGAAATGAAATAATTCTCCCTCATTTCATATGGTTATTCTATCAATAGGTGCTAGAGCTGATTTAATTCATTCATACCGTTTATTCTACGAGGAATACACAACACAAAATGATAAATATTGTATACGCGATTGCATATAACAATAAAGCGTACAAAATTTTGTTTCGGAAGCTTGGGAAGACTGACTTATGATAACATAAATATAAATCGAATGCATGCTTTCTGTAATGTCTGGAGCATGTTTGTTACATATGCAACTAGCCTTCCTATGGGCATTTTAAGAAATAAACATATCAAAATGTCCACTCTTTGCCATTTAAGGCTAAGGCCCTGGGTAAAATGATGTACTTCCACTCTTCTCATGAATTGCTATTATGTACACCAATAAAGAAAACAGGATGTAACTTTATCATGATGTCCAACTTATCAGGCAGAGAGAAGCTAAATAGAATACAGCAACATAACACAATAACAGATGCATTTTCCTGTTAATAAAGTGATTACATGTGAGAGATAAGGTTTCTGTCATCTGGATTATCAAGACGTTCAATCTTATAGAAGTTTACCGACGTTTTATAGGTGCTTATTCCCTCCTTCATGTGATGGTGGCAGTAAGCACTTCTGAAACGTCGGCAGATTACTACTAAACTACAGGTAGCCAGAATCCGGAAAACGTCAATATGCAACAAAGACACGTTCATATAATAATATTTAAAATATATCATAAAGTAATTTCGTTATAATAAAGTTTGAAAACTCTAAATGGAGCTTTAAATATATATCGACTGACAAAGAAAAATACTCTGTGCTGCTAGGTTTGTGTAGAGTTCATACACAAATCTGGCGTGTCATTTTACTCACAGTTGGCAGCCCTTGTTTCTCAAATCGTAATCTAAAAACGCAGGAAATATTTTATCGAAACAATTAGAATTGATTATGACTTACGTCAAAAATCTTCACTGAATGTTTCAGTAGACTCCTCACAAATCTTAGACTGCTGATGTTGATAAATTCTAGGTGTGAAATCGTAATAGAAACACAATAAAACGGACTTAACACACAAAGCTTGAAATTCGCGCTATCTCAATACGCCATCTTTCACTGGAGTCGACTACCAACGGGACCAACCAAATGGTTAAAAATTTAAAATAATTAGATGAAGACCTTTGTCCATATGAGATGTGTATATTTTTACCTAGCTGTGTCGTTTTACGTTAGTCTTCCAGAAATGGATCTTATGAAAATAGGGCATGAGGGTGAGGACTGAATTCACTTGCTCAGGGTAGGCAGTGTTGGCAAGCTCTTGTGAACATGCGATGTGATTTTTGTTCAACAAAAGGTGGGAATTTTCTTGACTAGCTACTATCAGCATCTCAAAAAGTCTGATCCACGAAGTTGGTTAGTTATTTTGAGTTACGTTTTCCGGAATTGTTTTTGTGACCAATATAAGCTGAAACTTAGAATTTCATTTTGCTTAGATATGGGCCATAATAATAATTATTTTGTTAATTAATTCATGTGGTTGCACAACTTGTGGCCTGTCACTTGAGGTAAGAACATAAATGTGAAGTGCCAAAACAGTTTTCTAGATTTGTGAGGGATAGAAAATGTTGCAATTTAGGGTATTTCAAAGGAAGGAACTTGATTTATTCAGGACATTTAGTGTTGCTAATGTAAGGAAGTATGGTAGGTTATGATGCGCTGGTCATGTAGTTGGGATTGTGAGACAAGAATATTGAACTTCTGTGCATAAATTGCCCCTCAGGGTACTGAGGAAGTGAGAGAAAAATATTAAAATGTATGTTTCTGTAAAAAGGTTTTTGAATGTGAAGTGGGTTTAATTGATTTAGAATTGTGTTGTATGGCAGAATTTGATTTCATCAGCTCTGGCCTTTAGATTTTATTACCAGATGATTGTTTGGTTGGTTAGTTTTATTGATAATTTTTTCTGAAATTGTCCATATCATTAACTGTACTGAAGATTTATTGATTGTACTGTCATGACTTGGTTTACACAGATATATTTGCGAAATGAACACTATATGAACGTGAAGTTGGCATTAATGTAACCAGAAACTTTCTCAGTCAAATTTTACTTTTTATACTTCTATTAAGAATAACTCTAAATTCAAAATACTATTTATTTCATGTTAATGAGTTTATTTAATTCTTTTAATTCCTCAGAGGCTGATTAATAAATAATAGTAAAAAAGAACGGAAATGGTTGTGCCATAATTTAAGTTCCTATTCCAGCATTTTTCATAATTTATGATATGTCATTAAATAAAAGTTTGATCTATATTTTTAAAGAAGATAAGTAGTAACCAACAAAAAATTTATGATTGTTTTGTAACAAAACTAAGACATGATAGATATTTTTAAAATATTATAAGCAGGAATTCTAGATGTATTAAATGTTTTAATTTAAAGTACATACATATGTACATATATTAAAAGATACATAAATAAATACTGACACACACATGAGTATACAGTTGCTGTAAGGATGGATTTAACATTTGAAGCTGAATGGTAACTATATGTTCTGCCTTCTTTAACAGTTAGTAATGATGTGTTTTGTTCATATGAGTCCTTTCATTTTTGTTGATGTTTTCCATGTTTTCCTCACCAGGCCCTGAGCGCTACTTACAACAGGATACGAGGCCTGTACAAGGATTCCTTCAAGAACTATACATACCTCAAGTACCTCTACCTGGATAATAACATGATATCTTACATAGAGAATGGGACATTTGACCCTTTGCAACAACTAGAAGTTGTTCGTCTGTCACACAATGCATTAGAGACGGTCCCTGTCGGAATCCTTCAATTACCAAAGCTGAGGAAATTATTCATGGATAGCAATCGACTAAACGGAGATGGAGGCTTTGCAGTTGCCCCAGTCAGTGAAACCCTTGAGTTACTGTCACTGGCAAATTGCCACCTTGAGGATTTACCCCCTTTGGGGATGTATCCCAAACTCTCAGAGCTTAATATATCTGGAAATGAGTTGAAAGTTCTGTCTTCCCATCAACTAGCACCTCTGTGCAGCCTACATTTGCTGGACCTGAGGGAAAATCCCATGCTGTTCAAGAATCCAAAAGATTGTGAATGCCAATTGCTGGCCACGTGGATAACACAGATGAACATCTATTATGCAGAGATTCCTCTGAACTGTTCTAATGAAACAGGTAGGCTCAGTAAAATAGAGTTCTGTTGTATCTAAATAGTGACAGATCAATACTGAGATTAATGTTTCTTTCTGGTGGTGAGGTTAGGACAGGCAATTTGAATAGTCACCATCATTACAGACAGGGGATGCAAGAAGGACAAGCAATATAGATCCTCTTTGTCTTTAATGACTATTAGATAAAACTGCCTGTTCAAGAGATTGTATATCCACATTTTGACATTGTTGAGAGAAGGAAAACTCGTGTCATGTTAATCAAAACCTGGTCGTCCATTCCACAACCTACCACGTTACTGACAGTTACCCTGTTTCATATATCATATTTCATAACCCATGAATTGAGCTTCATGCTTAGATAACCTGTTTTATATTTCCAGAAAACCATACGGATAGTAAGTTGGCCTGTATGCCGCAATTACAAGAGGTTACTGAGATGCAGCAAACATGTAGGACCACCATTGTGAAGAGAAAACAGAGGGAAAGCGAATTGATAAATTGTTTACTGATAACTCTCATTGTCTTCGCTTGTATCTATATTGCCTATCTTGTGATTGGTACAAAATTTAAGAATCACAGTTTGACAGAGATAAGGTTGGAATATCAACATGGAGACAGAAATAGAGATACTTCTTATGTTTAGAGGAGATGAACAGTGGTATCTGCAGTCTGCAACCAAATGCAAGTGCTTCTGTTCTGCAAAACACGTGTTGAACCTAGTGGGTGAGTCTCCTGTAGCTGTTTGTTCTAATTCTGCAATAAATACCAACTGAAACCCAACAGAAACGAGGTTCATAGTAGGAGCAGGGGAAGAATAAATTCTGAAACTGTTTGTTATCATGAGTTAAAAATGCGTTATCATTATGACTGCTTTCTGTCAAGTTAATGCTTGAAGTCAAATTGTTTGAAATTATTTATATGATATTGCAGTCTCACTGAGGGAAGAACGTAAATTATAGGTCTTTAAAAACAAAGAATTTGGATCTAAGTGGGTAATGCAGGAAATTTAATGGTCAGAAATTCCACGACGTGTTCAGATTACTAAAAACTCTTAGAAATATCTAGGAGGCTGCTGTGGGCTGGGTGTAGTCTGTTGCTAGAATATGGAAGGCAGAAGTGTAAAAGGTCAGGAAGGGGACAGGAATATAACATTTAAGAGCATTTTATGGAAATAGGCTGTGAAGATAGTAGGTGGATAGAACCAATGATAATGTCCAGTAATGGGCTTTTGTGTTAGTGATGCTGAACCTTCAAGTTCTGCTGCTACAGAGTTATAAAACCAAGCTGTATCAGTATTTCATAAGTGGCAGAGAATTTCTTAATGAGCTGAGCAAGAGAAGGACTTAATTAGATCTGATGTGAAGGAAATTCCACTGTAAATTAGGAATTCTCAACTTCCAGGTTTTCTATATGTTCTGTACATCCATTTCATGGAATACTTTGTCAACCCATGTGATAAAAAGAAGTTATCAAGAAACAAGTTTGCTAATGTTGTAAGGATTTGGCAGTAAGCAGTTTTTAGCTTCATAAAACATGCCAGATAAAGAACTCTTTAACACAAAATGAGTTCTTCTCGGGCTACTAGCCGTGACTCTTGGTTGAATGGAGAAAACGCCAACGTTTCAAGAACCATCTTCGTCCTCGTCCTCAGGGTATTGAATTCCTGAGTACCCTGAGGACAGGGATGAAGATGGTTCTCGAAATGTTGGCATTTTCTCCATTCAACCACCTGACACGGCTAGTAGCCCGAGAAGAATTCATTATACTTCGTCACCATGAAAGCTTCAGATCATGCAATGCATGATGCGTGAAAATCATAACAATAGTAATCAAACTTGATATAGAAAGGTAATAAAAAAACAGTACCAAATATCTTTTTAATGGCTGATCTGGATGAAGATAGTCGTCCGATAATAGGCCTATGAGAACATGTCTGTAAAGTTTGTCAAACTTTTTAAGAAATTTTAATTAATCGCCCTCTCTTTTTACATGAAGGCCTATGAGTCAATAAGAGAGTGAATATGGTCTCAGATCTGAAAAGGTTGAGAACCCCTGATAAAAATTAATCTGGATGTTATAGTAAGAGGAAGATTTATGTATCTGTAAAAATGAAGGAAGAATCAAGGAGGAGGATATATTTTAGTAATACATGAAGTTTCAAGTGATATATCCCATGGTTTATTTGTCGTCATCTGACAACGCTTTCATACAATAAAGAATAAACATTTAAACTGTATTTATTGCATGGCTAAATATTGCCCACTGACATCCAATTCCTGCATGACAGATTTTTTTAACCACAGTTTATCCACTTTTCCCGTAGCTGTTCGAGGGAACTCCGGCAGAAAGCTGAAGTATCGTGGGGTCTTGAAGTCTGCAAGCTGAAGCAGAAGTGTGACACAACTTACAAGTAATTTACTTCTAATTTATTCAGTAAGGATATTTGGTGCTTACACTGGCATTACGTAGAGGTTTTCGATTATGGGCGATCACTGCACCGATTGCCTTGTTACCCACTTCTAGTGTAAGAGCTTCAAAATATTCTCGCTGTATTAAGTAATAATTTTAGACATTTAAGGAGAAAATTCATGATTTATGCAGTTTACTTGATATTGTTAGAGAGGAAAATTATTTTAAGGAGCGCACAAACTGGATGTGTAGCTTGAGTACGGGTGCAAGATATTCAATTTGAAAATCAAGGACATGGTGAATGACTAACGTTAAGCTGGTTTTGCGTGTCTTCTGAGTCACGTAGTTCAGGATCTGTTTTTATAATGGGCATTAGTGTTAGTGTTGAAACTTTTACCCACTATCGTCTTGTACACTGTTACTTCCAGTGTCACAATTAATAAGGTTTCAAAGTTTCTGTTCTGTAAACAGGTTTTTGTTCTTCGTTTCTTTGCCTTAAAATGATTTCAAAGCAGTTTTTCTGCATGAGATTTGAGGTTCTTATCACAGTGAAGATGGCAGTGTTGCTTTTCTGGGCTGTGACACCCCAAAGATGGAGACAGTGTGTTTCTCAGAAATGGTGGTTTCTGCTTAGGAATCTACATAGTGCGACAACCCACAAGATTAATATTGACAGTTTCTCTGTTGCTCCAATTCTTAAATTTTTTTTTTAAACATTTCCAACCTGATGTGCTTTAAAATGTCTTAACTTGCATTGGCAACTGAAAGTTTCAAGAAATGAACCTGTTACCTTTGTCACGTCTGTCTGCAGGTAACAAATCTTGAACAGATGCAATGAATAGATTTTAATTTAATATTGGGGAGAAAAACTAAAATTTGTACACACATTTTAGTTGAGGTAGGATGGGACACACTTTATGAAAATCGATATGCCTTTGAGTTCATGGAAGTGACTTGATAGGTTCCCCCACCCCCTTCACCACGATGACGTCTTCGTCAGCCAGACACCCCATTGTGACGAACTAGCCAGAATTTTTACATTATGTATCCATTTCCTAGCTTGTTTGGTCGTAACGTGATCGTGTTGAGTACTGTGCTAGGCGTGTGGGACCGGATTGTACTGTACCTTTCCTCTGCAGAATTCTCTCAGTTGCTGCTCAGAGAGGGCAGTGCATGCGCGTTGTCTGATACACACACACATCTCCTCTCCCAATCGCGGGTCTGGCACTCCGAACGCCTGCGCAATGAACTTCGTGTTAGGTGTGGCATTAATGAACACAAGTAGATAATTATACTTCAGATCAAAATACGAGTTTTTCTTTCGTGATTTTAATCTGTGTAATGTAGTATTGACGTATATTTATTGCAGAAACATGTCTTCTGTTGACATATCTAAGAAGCAGACGAGATATTGTACGGTGTTGAATATAAAATCTGTTCTTTAGCAATTTAACCAACAGAAGACATGTTTCATTGCAACGACTCGGTGTGAACCGCATAAGTTATGTACCGTAGATTAGCATAGGACTGATAGGACGACATTGAACACGTAAAGATGTTGACGAAACTGGTAGTTCATAATATTTTTAGCTGCTATGCCAGAATTTACCTTGTTGGACTGAGGAAAATCATGAAAGGATATCCAGGTAAAGTGTAAGAAGAGTATAAAATTGTACCGCTGGCAATGTATTCACCTTCAGATACGAGGTGCGATCGGAAAGTTTCAAGACTGTGTCAATAGAGGGCGAACCGGATGTAGTACGAGCTTCTGCCTTTAGGGGGTGCGGCCTACATCCATAGTGATTCAGTGTGCCAGCCGGCATCATCGAATTAGCATTTGTTTCTTAGTTACGGGCGTTTTGGTAGTGCATTACACCGACCCTTCTGGACGAACATCTTCGAGCACAACGCCCGAAACTGTTACGAAGATCGACGTCGTACCATCAACGACTTGTACGACATTGTTGGGATAGGCTTTGGGACCTGTCAGCTGATTCTAAAGGAAGAACTCCACATGCGACGCATCCTGTCAGAGGACTAGAAGCAGAATCGACTTCTCGTTTGTCAGGAGTTTAAAGATCTTGCAAGAACCGACCCCAACTTCCTTTCTAAGCTCTGTGTGACTTCTTCCTCTTCCCAAAGATGAACATTCAGCTAAAGGGAAGGAGATTTGAGACAATAGAAGAGATTTAGGCAGAATCGCAGATGGTGCTTGACAGGCTGACAAAGAAAGATTTCCAGGGATGCTTCCAGGCTTAGCAGCGGCGCTGGGATCGTTGTGTTCACTCCCAGGGGAACTACTTCGAGGGTGATGGATGAATTTAATACCTGAGATAAGTGTACGGGTTTTTATACGCGCAGTCTGGAAACCTTCCGATCGCACCTCGTAAGTTGTCGCCCGCTCATCTCTTGCTACCTGATGTATTAACCAAACACTAGGTGTTCTGTGAAAAAAGCATTTCGTCCTTGCGTTACCTGGGCTTCCATGACATCGGGGTGAGTAATAAAGAACTCCTCAATTTCAATGGGAAATATATTGGTGTTGTCTCGGATGATTATGTCCTTGAGGCGACCCACAACCCGTCCATATCCACCCTCCTGTAGCACGAACTGGTCCCTGTCGGTAGAGTACAAGAGTAGAAGGTTTTCTGTGAGTGTACGTCCAGTAGATTTAGTTTTAATAGGCCATACCTCGCTGGCATTAATTCTAATTTATTGCAGATAAAAATGTGTTGTTGCAAAACCAATCTTTACTTCATTGCGACAGATCGAACTTTGTTTCGTTGTTTTTCGATTACTGTTTATCACATCAGGCCATAGTACGTCTGCATATTAATTCGCTTGTAGTTGTCCGATCTTAACCTAAATTAGTATATGTCAAGGACTTTCAGTTTTGTAAACATCCGCTCAGCCGTTCTCGAGTCGTTAGAGACGAACGGACAGACACATATGACGAACCTAATACGCGAGTTTTTGCAACTTTTAGTTTCAAACATGCCTAAAATATTTTAAATACACGTTACATATTTAATGTAATATGTATTTATCGTAAAGTAGGAGGTAGACCTGTATGATGCCTATACGAGGGAAATGAAATGCACATGTTAGCGTTTAGTGTAGACATTCAATTCCAATTTAATCTAAATCCATTCAGTGCTATCTTATATGAACCATGCAACTGATCGCAAATCTTACCCCCCCCCACCCCTTCCCATAAAGAAGGCAGTAATCGCCTCTGAAACATCAGTTAATATCTACCATATTATCCGGCCCAACATCCCAAAAGATAAGTCTTTTTGATATTCGTCGCCGTGAAAAACTGAAATCGCAGTCTTCAGTCAGACTTTATCTTGCATCAACTCACCCAGTTTTGAGCCACCCGTCTGGGGTTATTATTCCCTTGGTCTTCTCCTCCTCACCCCAGTAACCCAGCATAATGGCGTAGCCTCGCACCCAGAGTTCTCCCGGAGTTCCCATTGGAACCATTCGACCTTCGGGATCGACAACTTTTGCCTGCAAATCCCAGACAAAAGAAGGGCTGTGGATCAACGCCTGCAATATGCTATATTAATGAAGGAGTATTTCGTAACTTGGTGTTTTTTTAGGATTTTAAAGGATTATGATGTACACGTTTGAAGTATCCTGCAAATTCTCCGTCGTCTTCTTATACAGCCCAGCAAATAATGGTCTTGTAGCGTCAAGGCACCAGTACCATCACAACAAAAACAAAACAACATTAGTAAAGCGGAAGTTTCGTACCATGTCATCATATGATACTGGATTAGCTAAATCTTGAAGATTTCCTGCGGGTTAATTCAACCCTTGATTTTTCTCTGTTTTGGGTCAGTAATTGTTTCTTTTCGAGAAACTGAGGCTGCATCAGTCACTGACTGACAATTCATGGAGCTCCTTGCAGCTGTACATTTTACCTTTGTTTTATTATTATTTAGTGTTCTGTCTGACGACAGGTCCATATGAACAGGATCCTTCCATCCTTTTCTCGGACTGGGACCTGTTCATATACGTTCTTGGCAGATGATCCAGAAGTGGTTTGCCATTGCCTTCTTCTGTGTGTGAATGGAGTAATTGTTGGGATGCCACGGAGAACCGGGGAAGCCCCCGGAGGAAAACTCCGTGATACCTAGACCACGGTCTTGCCCAACACAAGTTATAAATCTGAGCACCATCGGGAATTGAACCCGGGACCCCAGGATTACAAGGCTAGTGTTCTGACCACTAGACCACCGTGGCGGTTATTTTACCTTTATCAACACAAAATTCTTTTTTCCTGATAATCGGTTTTGGATAAATCTGTCTACTCGTGTCACGTTCTAATTAAAATTGGAAATGCAAATATACAAACGGAAAGACACACATAGACCGTTTATAATTCATGGATAAAGCTTGTTGCTAGTTGTATAATTATTTTCCGAAGAAGCGTCATTTCCTATGAAGAGTAAATAGTTGTGAGCCACACGTACCTCCATGTGGTCTGTAACGACCCCTACCGTGGCCGCTGCCTGCTGCACAGCGTCAGAGGCGAGCGACTGGAAAATTAAGGGGCTGGTCTCAGTCATTCCGTACATGGCCTGCAACAAATAATTGCTACTCGGAAACCGGATCTCCAAATTTCGAAAGCTTTATCGATACATTGCACAGTACATACGTATATTCTCTGGACTGCGAAGGATTCGACTATGTCATGAACCAGTTGCTGAGGAACCGGAGCCGAGCCAATGGCCGCTATAATCAGGGAGTCCGGTTTTAGACTGTGGTCACGCATCGCGTCCAACATATCCACATACAGCGAAGGGCTCGCCACCATCATCGTACACCTGCAAAGGGTATAATAACTGTAATAGTGGTCACCAGCAGGCACGGGTCTCTGGGCACATGCGGTCTACCCCTAAGACTTTTTTTGATAACGGAACAATCCATTGGAACTCGACCGGAGGAATATTTCCTAAACTGGTATTTTATACTAAAATAGTTTCGGACTTGGAGAATTTTTACTCCTCGAGGAGACTCTGAAGTTGCCCACGTGACCCTCGTGGGCTTTGATCCCACCATAAAGACGTCACTCTAATTTTTGTTTTCAATTTTCTGGATGGACACACTTGCCCCCAATTATAATTTTCGTTATTGTAGATTTTCTTTTTTATATTCTGTAATTCTATGATTGTTTTATATATATAAGACGCGACGCCGCTAAAAGACCTTATCAGCCACGGAATTTCAGGTTACGGTGTTATCAGCGACTCAAAAGTCTACGCTGAATGTAGGTTACGTAAGTTGAGTGTGCAGTAAAACAACACATTTTCGTCAACAGCATTTATATGAAGAGCGATTGAGATTGGTATTGCGATAAGAAATAGAAGAGGTTATGTAATGAGCGAGAAAGAATTATTGATAGTGATAAAATATTTAAGCGTTTGCCAAGAAAGTCGCTGGCAAAACAAGTTTCGCAAGATGATGTTTCGGACTCCTTGACAGAAATAGCTACAATATTACTGAAACTTCGGCCGTATATAAAAAACAATTGAATTTGTTGCAAGTAAGAGACTCAGGTATAGTCGGCGCAGTAGAAGCTAGCGGGCGGGCCTAGTCTGTGTACCTGAGGTAGCACGGTCAGTGCATTTCTTTTGTTTGGGCGTTCAGTCCGATAAACTCCTCGGTGCAGTCAGCATTATACCATCGCACAAGAGACTCGCTCCTAGCCTTCCCCTTGAAAATTCCAAGCTAGCGGAGCTGGCGGACGGGCCTAGTCTGTGTACCTGAGGTAGCACGGTCAGTGCATTTCTTTTGTTTGGGCGTTCAGTCCGATAAACTCCTCGGTGCAGTCAGCATTATACCATCGCACAAGAGACTCGCTCCTAGCCTTCCCCTTGAAAATTCCAAGCTAGCGGAGCTGGCGGACGGGCCTAGTCTGTGTACCTGAGGTAGCACGGTCAGTGCATTTCTTTTGTTTGGGCGTTCAGTCCGATAAACTCCTCGGTGCAGTCAGCATTATACCATCGCACAAGAGACTCGCTCCTAGCCTTCCCCTTGAAAATTCCACCGGCCAAAAACACTCCGCCGACTATACAAGAATACGTTTTTGTATATGGTATAATTGTCCCAAAGTTATTGTTTTTGTACCGACAAAACCTGGTTCCATTTACACGGACTGGTCCTTGGAAGAAAAACCAGTTTTTCATAAAGTGCATTGTACAAATTTCAGTTTACCTTTCTTTCTGAACGGTTTGTAGGATCGCCTTGGCCTGGAACAGTGAGTCCGGTATTACCAGCGCCGCTCCATAACAAAGACAGGTGACTAGAGAAACGCTCGTAGCTGAAGCATGGCAGAAATTAGTGCAGAGGCACCACCGATGAGGCTGTGTGCATTAAAATACAGCATTGGCTCTCACCTTATGCAAAAATCAGCTGCAAAATCCATTGGTACTTGACATATTATTTAAAAAAACACGTAAGCAAATTTCTAGTCTAATCGTCGACTTCGTATTTGGGAGGCCGAGTGTTTAAATCTCGGATCGAAGTGTAGTGACTGGAATTTTTCGTGTTTTTTTTATAGTCCCTCCAGAAAAGATGATTATGAAGCCTCTGTCAACGTATACTAGCAGAACACGTGTTCATTATCGAACGATACCTTGCATCGAAAGTGTTTGCTGCTACCAATGCTTTTCCTGACAACGAAGAACCGAATGAGATTACAATACTCCGACTGGTAATAAGATTTCGGGACACAGAAAATATTTGCGCCGGGATACGTCAGAATCTTCTTACCCACGGCTTAATATAAGTTACTATCCCTTCATTTTCCTGGAGGAACTGATGAACTCTATGCAAATTCTGCATTATGGTAGTCGGTCTCTGGGCTGAGATTTAAATCTGAAATCTCGCGAATACAAATCAGGAATGTAAATATTAATTGATCGCTTTTAGAATATCAGTTCACCTGGGAAAAGAGAAGTAGCCGTCTGCCTATGGAAAGTGCGTTATTTACGATGTTGTGGTGACTCAGCAGAGCGCCTTTCGGATGACCCGTCGTGCCCTGAAACAATATTGCTGCAATAATTTGTAATGTTCTCCTTGATAAGATAAGTCTTTAAATGTTGTTTTGTCGTTTTAGTAGAGACTTTATTGTGATTAGGAAGAAGTTAGTTGGTTTAAATTCCCGGGAAGGACATGAATCTCTTCCTGGCTTCGAACACACGTCGGTTCTGAGCCGACCTAACTTTCCTGTTTAATTAGTTCAAGCAGCTTTTTTCAAGAGACCAAGACCTCGATGCATAAATTGGTCACAAAAATCTGAGAAAGTCAGATGAACTGTATTTTTATTTTTTTTAAAAAAAATCAGATTTTTATCTAAAATTGATTAAAATCTAATTATTCCGAATTCTAAAACGCACTGCGCGCAATTTGAGTGGCGTGTGACTAGGTTTTCATACCGAAGTAAAGAGGATAACACATCCATCATCAGGCTGTATGCGTTGTTGCACCTGCCGGACTCGATCCAGGGATTCCGGGGTCGATTTAGAAAGTACATCTTGCAGCCGGAGAACGCCCCTGAAAAAAAAGAAATTCCAAAAGTTCCCTAATAGATCGGGTCCGTATTCGCCTACCAGTTGAAACACAGATTCTTTTCAATTCTAAAGGGTTCTGACGATGGTGGACTACACTTAAAATTATTCGCTATCTGAACTTTTTCCAACTTCCTTGTTTTCAAGAAAGAAATCACGACGTTTCGTAAACTGACTCTGTTTCCGTCTTCAGGCGAGAGGTACCTACCTACTCAGTTGGTTCTGTCAGATAGAGCTAGCTGAAAACGGAAACAGCAAGTTTCCGAAACGTCGTGGTTTCTTTCTTTTAAACGAGGACGATGGAAAACAGATTCCTTTACTCGTGAAATATCGTGTTTAACGGGTATATAAACCTGGGCTTGAGGTTTTCACGTCTGTGAGTCGAAGGTCTCATCGCACTGATGATGGAGGCAGCAAGGCCCTCTTAAACGTTGGTAAACTTCTACCAGACTTCACGGTGCTATACCCATAAGACATACATCTACGTCTGGGTTATTTTCCCGTGACTAAAGGCGGTCGGAGCGTGAACATAGCTACTTATTTCAATTTAGGGCTCAGATGAATGCATGGAACTTCACCCTTAGGCTCGTTTCACACATATACGGCGACCGTCCAAACGGTACCGTTTACACGGAACGGTGAAAACTTCACACACAACCGATCATACCCGGAGCCGGTTATTCTGTTGTTTGTTGCCATCATAACTTGACAGTAAAACAAAAAGTTCTCAGTTATCGTCTCTCTAGAGCCTCGAAGGTACATAGAATGCTCGTTTGGAATATTAAGTAATAAATGGAGGATCTTTTATCGAGCTATAAACTTGCAACCTGATTTTGCTGTAGACATTGTCAAGGCTTGTGTTGATTTATACAACTTTGTTCGGGAGAGAGACGGCTACGAGGCAGAGGATACATTGACAATCACAGGTCCTGATAAAATACGTGGTGAAGAAGTAGTGCGCGGGGGAATATCAGCAAAGAGTGTGAGAAATCTTTTAGCTGACTACTTCTTAACACCTGTTGGCTCTCTGAAATAGCAGCTTTCAAAGATTTAATTTCATGAACGTTAATCATATCTTTATTACTATACCTATATTTAATTGTAGAACAATTCATTTCATTGTAGAAAGTTTAATAAATTCACATTCACTGATTATTACTTCACAAGGTTGGTACTTAAGTCACGGAACCGGGCATTACACACGGCACGTGTGAAGGAAGCCATTCAACTGTTCACCCGACTACCAACGTGGTACGCCGTTAGAACGGTCATGGCGACTTCACGGTAGACCGTTACCGTATAGACGGCACCGATGCGTGTGAAAGCTCTCGTATAATCTTTGACCTTGTAAACGGAGCCGTTTGGACGGTCGCCGTATATGTGTGAAACGGGCCTTACGATATGTGGAGTTCAGACTATCTTTGACAGCTCAATGAGTATTCTGAGGGAGTTGGGTTCGATGAACGCCGAGGTCATTAGATCAAGAGTGTGAATATCCGGGATCATATTCAGTGAATACAGCGGTTATCTTAAACAGCGTTTAACGACTGATCTTTGTCAAGGACACGCGTTGTTTTCTTTGAGGTAGGAACTGATTTTTTTAAAAATATTATTTAGATGAGCTTCGTGCTTCAAAGACACGGATTTGATTTAATGTCACATTTAAGCAAGAAGTCTGCGCCATCCTTTGGTACTGTTCCCTCTTAAATTGTGTGGTGTAGTTGTTGAAAT